AAATTGTGCTCTCTCTCTCTCTCTCTCTCTCTCTCTCTCTCTCTCTATATATATATATATATATATATATATATATCAAACATAATATTAAAAATATAACATTCGAAAAATTATACATCCGCAATATTTTTGGATGAATTCTCTAATATTATAACTATTATGTAGCTACGAAATAAGCAGCTCATTATGCGCTTTCATAAAAACACGTTTGATTGCACGTGCTCAAAGCGTGCTAAAGTATTCATATATTGATGCGTGCATTCATAGTGTAACGCGTGGCGAGTACATTTTGCGTGGGGTATCGAAAATCCATGAACTGAATTACTGTGTGGGTTCCGTTATACGACGAGGGACTCCGTTTTTGTCCATGGGTGGTGAATTCGCTCACCAATGCAGTCTAATGTACTACCACACAAAAAATAGAAGGACTTCGAATGATTGTATTATTTATGATCATTTTCGTATATTTTTGCAATTTCTGTGAAAATTTTTTTAAGAACAAAACATAAATTCTGAAAAAATTGTAATATATTATCCATATAAATATTCTATTGCTTACTTTATGTTTGTACAACTTCATTAATAAGATATTGAAATTTAGAGACGAGTTCTCTACTTTAAATTATTTTGAAATTTATCATAATTTGTTTTGTGACATTACAATCAATGTTACGAGCAATATTTAAGAGCGACTCTTTCGATTAAGCCATCATTTTACGATACTACCACGTTTTGTAGAAGAATTAAGGAATTTTACGTTCGATGAAAGTATCGATTAAGATTGCGACTGGACTATTTTAGCAGAATAAAGAGAGACAAGGCAAGTTAACTGATACTCGTTACCGCTAAACTATTCTTAAACTAAACGGTTTATCACTTTAGCTAGTAAGAACTGTACAATTACCGAGTTGCTTTACCAGTTAGATTCGTGCGAGAACTAAAATATGGTAAATCGTAAACTCCTGCCATTTAAAATAAGAATCTCCTATGCACAAAGACAATCTATTATCAAATTAATTTGTGGTCTGCACATTCCTTCTCTCTATCATCCAAGTAACTATAACTTTTATTACCTTGCAGCTCTGCGATCGTTCAGAAACAGTCTCATTTGAGATAAAATGTTGCTGAGTCAATACATATAGAGACTCTGAAAATATCAGAAATGAATCGAGCGTGTCGTATTAATATTCATCAATTTCACAAAAAGAATCATATCAATGAAATGAATATTAAGTAAAATTGTGATAAACTTCTCTGAGTAACTCCTGCTTCGTCAATATATAGGTTCGAGAGTGTGAATGAAAATAAAATGAAAATAACCAAGTGAGGTAGCATCGGTTATATTTCTTCACGAGCGATAGCGGATGAATTCATGCGCGAAGTTGTGCGGAACGATCGACCCACCGTATGATCATCGTATATATATGGGGCGGAGAAACGAGGGATGAACGTGTCAGAAGCAGTCCCTAAGGTCTAATTATGAGTTTGTACAGAGGGTCGGTTAGTCGACTCCGCCGCGTAAGGAAAGGGCCCTATTGACTCATTGACCGAAATATCTTCATTGAGTATCTAGAATGAATTAAGCACGTACATGCCAAATGTAACATAATGAACGGATACGTCTGACATTGTCAATCTGACACAATTTAAATAATTATAGTGACTAGGCTCGTTTTCTTATGACACATACATGCCCACATATACAACGTGAAGATTAGAACACGGACTTTTGCATAAAATATGAAAAAAATCAACCAATCAGTCTTTTATGAAAAGGAAAGAAATGAAGGAACTTTTCTATAGTACAACCTCAATAGAAGGAATAAGGAATTAGGAATAAGGAATAATGATTCCAACATCTATCAGAAACCGTGTATTCCGATATATTTGATTTTTCTGATAGATTAAAATCTTTATTCCTTATTCCTAATTCTTTATTTCTTCTATTGGAACTGCACCTTAATTTGTCCGTTTTCTTATGTCTTATGTATTGTGTTATGTATTGTGCAAGATACTGTCCCATCTAGATGCTGAGAGATGAAGAAATAAAGAATTCAAAAGAACCGTCGGTTTCAAAAAGTTTTTACGCTATCAAATACGGCCGCGCTCGACGTCAGAATCAAGATTGAGCGATCGCGTTGTCGGATCGCGCAACCATAAATAATCCCACAGAAATCGTGGTGTCATTAAGATCTCGTCGCACGTCGATGCTCGCACGGTGTAAGGTGCGTGTCTTGAAGAAACCGGGAACGGCGAGGGATGAACGTTGGGGCCGGGGTGTGATGAGCGGAGGTGGGGTCACGAGTCGACGGAAAGTTCGCCCCGGCAATATTTCGCGGCGTGGTCGGACAAAAGGGGACACAATGCCGAGGGCAGGATCGATTCTCCTCGCTCGAGAGAAGAGGATCGCGGACGGGAGGACCAGGCTACGCTGGTTACGTTGCACGAGAGACGCCGAGTAGACCGGCCCACATTGTTGCCGAAACGATGCTCACCGTTGGGCTTGGGGAAACAACGAGCCACCGGACTCCCGAGAGGCGTAATTAATCACTTTTTGTGCAAGGTAAAGAGAAAGAGAAAGAGAGAGTGGGAGGGGGGAGAGAGGGGGAGAGAGAGAGAGACAGAGAGAGATATTTCCGCACCGCGCCTTGAGAAGCTTTCGAGGATCGGCGATCGCGAGTCGATGGCCTGGCACTATAATTTCCGAATAAATCGATTTTACTCAAAATCACTCAATAAATGAAGAAAAAATAATATAAACATTAG